CATAACCCAGACCATGCCACTGTCCCACTTACTGGCCTCCCATTTCACTGAGACTAAACCCTCACTACTCACAAAGTGAACCTCAGACCGACGATATCAGAACCCCTCGCAAGCTCATTAGTGCTGCAGAATCTCAGAGCCACTCAGACCTGCTGAATGAGAATCCTCATGGTATCTAGATCCCTAGGATGTTTGTTAGGACATTAAACAGTACGAACCTGCACTATCTGGCTCCTCATTTCCTATGACTCTACTTTTCGGTCTCTCAGCTCCAATACAGGGACTTCTACTCTTCATATAGTCCATTCACGTTCTTTCCTCCAGGCCTTTATCATGGTCTTCTGCCAGGAACGCTCTTCTCTTATTTACATGGTGAACTGGCTCACCACCCTCAAGCCTCTACTCAAACCTCACATTCTTAATGAAGCCACACTGTTTAAAAATACAACCACCCAGGCCGGGGGCGCGGTGGCTCACACCTGTAATCCCAGCGCTTTGGGAGGCCGAGGTGGGTGGATCACGAGGTCAGGAGACCGAGACCATCCTGGGTAACATAGTGAAATCCCATCTCTACTAAAAAAAAAAAAAATACAAAAGTTAGCTGGGCATGGTAGCGCATGCCTGTAATCCCAGCTACTCAGGAGGCTGAGACAGGAGAATGGCGTGAAGCTGGGAGGCGGAGGTTGCAGTGAGCTGAGATCATGTCACTGCACTCCAGCCTGGTGACAAAGCTAGACTCCATCTCAAATAAAAACAAACACACACACACACACACACACACACATATATATACATACAACCATCCAAACTCACCCTCTACACTTGGGCTACTCCTTATCACCCTTGCAGTTGTATTTTCTCCCCGTAACTCTTCACCCCTCTAACATCCCACATAATTGACTTATTTGTCTGCTTATTGTTTATTGTCTATCTCCCTCTGCTACAGTGTAGCATCATGTGGACAGGGTTTTGATATTGACACAACATCCATGTCCATGATTATTTTCTTCATAATTCATTTTTATTGTATTCTACAAAATTATTAGACTGTGGTAAAACGGAAAACAACCAACCAAAAATTAATCTTTTATAAAAGTTTTGAGAAATACTTGTCAGTTCCTGGCACATAGAGTTAATAATTATTTTTTGAATAAATAAATAAATAGAAGAACGAATGCCTGAAGTATAACCATTTACACAGTAAAACCAGATAAGGTCTGTATACATTGTTGTCAGTCCTATTAAATAATTTCACTGCTTGGATTAGTGACCAAGTGACTAGAATTATGCACTTCCCGGGTATATTGTGCTTTTCTCTTAATGTGAGCAATGAGTCGGCCCACATGGGCCAGTTAGGGACACTTGTTATACTCTGAAGACATTTAAGGCCCATATTTACAGACTTCTTTGCATGGCTGCTCTAAGCTGAGCTTGAGATGGAGTAACTTTAGATTTATTCCCTGCCTCTCATTCTCACCTCACCGACCCCTTCTTAGAATAATGAAGTTAGGCCTCACTGCAAGTTAGAAGTCAAATTTTCTGGATAAGTGTTTTTTTAAACCGAAAAGGTCACAATATTCTCATTCAACCTTTCACTAAAACATGGGTTAAAATAATGGGTCAAGGCCGGGCGCGGTGGCTCAAGCCTGTAATCCCAGCACTTTGGGAGGCCAAGACGGGCGGATCACTAGGTCAGGAGATCGAGACCATCCTGGCTAACACGGTGAAACCCCGTCTCTACTAAAAAATACAAAAAACTAGCCGGGCGAGGTGGTGGGCGCCTGTAGTCCCAGCTACTCGGGAGGCTGAGGCAGGAGAATGGCGTAAACCCGGGAGGCGGAGCTTACAGTGAGCTGAGATCCGGCCACTGCACCCCAGCCTGGGCGACAGAGCGAGACTCCGTCTCAAAAAAAAAAATAAATAATGGGTCATTTAAAGCACAGAATTAAACACAAAGGTATAATTTGCTAAAAATGTTGCTTAAATAATATATTCTTGTTTCTACAACTGATAATATAAATGAAACAGAAAAAAAATTTTGTTCTTCATCTTGGTTGTTTTCTAAGATCAAGGGGAATTCGATTTACATATGTTTTCTCATGTCTTCATGTCTAAACTTTCTTTGCTTCTCCTGCCCAAAACAGCAATAGTAACAATAGTAACAAAATGAAATAGCTTGGATTATTTTAATTTCTTCCACTAGTATACTATATCTATTTGGAGGTTGTCTCAGAAACATTTACTTTGTTCTAGGATTGTTAGAAATACATTGTAAAACTCTTCTCTGATTCCTTACTTAGGTAAAGTTTCATTTCATTCTTGCTTCCATTATGTTTCATCACCACTTTGGATGCTCAAGAATTCAATTCGAGACCTAGGCTAGGTTGTGAGGAGAGAACTCATAAATGGGAAGACATGATTCTAGAGAGTTTTAAATCTAGTAGATGCATTAAAGTAACTATAAAACAAAGCAGGATGTGATAAGTATTATAAGAAAGAGTAAAAGACTAGGGAGCCATTGTGGACCTTGAAGAATGGAGAGGATTTTGAAAAGTAAATGAGGAAGAAGGACATGTGGAGTAGAAGAGGCAGCATAAACAGTCACAGAGGAGGGAAAGAACATACCAGGCATGTTCAGAGAAAACAGAATAGTTTGGAGATTCTGAAGCACAGAATGAAAAAGAGAGAGCAGTAGAAGTTAGAGCTAGAAAAGAAGATTAGGACCAGAACAGAGAAAGCCTTGAAGGTCATGCTGGGATACTAGGGAGTCACTGAAAAGTGTAGAGGGAGAGAAGGTCACGATTAGGATTTTGCTTTAGAAATCTTAGGTTTCTGTTGGCATAAGATAAACTAAAGGAGAATGGAGGCAGGAAGACTACTTAGGATGCTGTTTATAAGAGTGTAAGGGGCAGTGATGTTGATGGTGGCAGACCCAATAGAAAATCATTTAGACTGAAAGGGAGAGACAACTCTAGAAAGAACGTACATATAAGCCATTTATAGCAAATCAGATGTGTTACTTATTAATACATTTGACTTTTTAAGACACTTTCCTAAAGAATGGGAAAGATTATTGTAATCCAACAAGTCTCTTTTCTTTTTAATAAATTCAAAATGTAATGTATTTTTACTTCCCCAAACTATCACACCAAAACTTAATGTCTTACCAAAAGAACTTTATTTCTCTACCTAGTATTCATGTTCATAGATTAACTCTGTATTTATATAATATCAATAACAATAATTACCATAACAGCAACTGACATTTACTAAACCCTTACTATGAGCCAGACACTATGCTATGCCCTTTACTTACACTAGCTCATTTAATCCTAAGTGAAACCTCTCAGATATGCATTACTATTTCCCTCACTTTACATGAATAGGTACTAAGGTAAGGAGTTGCTACACAGCTTGATTAACACAGGAGACCCAGCCAGGTGCGGTGGCTCACACCTGTAATCCCAGCACTTTGGGAGGCTGAGGCGGGTGGATCACGAGGTCAGGAGATCGAGACCATCCTGGCTAACACGGTGAAACCCCGTCTCTACTAAAAATATAAAAAATTAGCCGGGCATAGTGGTGGGCGCCTGTAGTCCCAGCTACTCGGGAAGCTGAGGCAGAATGGTGTGAACCTGGGAGGCGGAGCTTGCACTGAGCAGAGATTGCGCTACTGCACTCCAGCCTAGGCGACAGAGCCAGACTCCATCTCAAAAAAAAAAAAGAGAAAACACACACACACACACACACACACACACACACACACACACACACGAGACCAGAGATTTGAATCCAGGCAGGTCTGATGCCAGAACCTGCCAGTATGGTTTAGCTATTCAACCATACTTAAAATTTTTCTTTTTAGGAATTACATCTATTTAAAAATAGAATACCAAGAGAGAACAAAAACTAGATAGGACAAATGGAAAATAAATAGCAAGATGATAGATTTAAACCAAAACATATCAATAATCACATTAAATATAAATGCTCTAAACACTCCAATTAAAATATACAGACTATCTGTTTGGATAGAGAAAAGTACTAACCAAACTCTTGCATAATGAATTTTGCTCCATTATACTGTTTTTCCCCTAAATTCTCTCCTCTTTTTTTGTACTACTTTTACCCCCACTTCATTGTGACCTTATTCCTGAATACTGTCTGGCTATGAGGAAAATATTTCCTTTGTCAGGTTTATCATTTACTACACATCCATTTAAAAGGTTCTGCTATAATGGACTCATCCTCTTGTCTCTCTCCAAGAGTTTAAGATCCATATAGACTGACTGAAGTCATAACACATTTATTATGCATTTCCCACTTCATACTGTGCTACTTTGTCACTGATAAACAAGCTAAGAAGAAAACTGAAGAGATCTGAGAAATTACTTTATATTTCAGAAAAACAGATGAGGTTGACATTAAGTGTAACATCAGGAGCATTTCTTTTCTTGGAAAGGTTCACGTAGTCCTTAGTATCTTCTAGCTTGTAAATATTTCTTACAATTATGTTTCTATTTTATCTTCCAGAAGCACTGGTTATAGCTGCATGCAAACCTGAAACTGACTTTTACTATATTCTGTAGCAAGAAATTTAGAAAATGAGCCAGAAACAGTTGTTTCCCAAAGGCATGTCTGTCTTCTTGCTCTACTTTCTAAATCCATATTCTTTATCAACTCCTAGATTTCGACCCTGCATGATCTGCTCCACTAAAAGCTGGTCAGCTGTTTATCTTCCCTTTAATAAAATGAAATTTTAGAACAGTTTCCTAGTTTAAGGTTAAGTAAATGGAAAAGCATGGACTTTGATATTCATTATCTTAAATGACATGGGTACATGGTAAACTACCTTTAATACAAGTTTTACATCCAGCATGTATGGCTTCCCAAAAGTTTTTGCCAACATTTGGTCATATTACTATCTAATTGAGTTCTGCCCAAAGTACGCAAACAAGCAAATGGTAGAAGCAGCATGCAATTCAAAATGTTCTTCTTACCAGGTTTTTGAGGGGCTCCCCAGAGACTCAGTCCTTGGTGATCTGGAGCAGGATGGCATATCCGAGAAGACAGCAAATCAGTCCCAGAAATCGAGTGCTTCAGAAAAACCCAGTAAGAGAAATATTATTATCCTCTGATGAAACAGCCTTAAGGACATGGCTTCTATTTAATGAAGGGGCACTTAACCCTGACTAAAAGCAAGAGGCTACATATATTGGAGTCATTTGTAAGTTGCTCCCGTTTTGCATAGAATTGAATGGAGGTCCTCTCCTTGGGGCAATTAGAAGCCAAGTCTCAACATCTTTTGCTTCATTCATTTATTTCTTCTTCAGAACAAGTCAACCTAGCTTCCTGTTAAATTAATTATAGTCCAGAATATAAAACAGCTATGTGCTGATTTTCACCTATACTTATTTTTTATCTCTAAGAAAGAAAAAAGAAAACCTATAGGAAGGTATTAATCTGCTTAACATTTCTAAGTATATCATCCAAAGGATTTTGTTTTTTAAATCTTACATATGCTCAGCAGAGTTACTGGCAAAAACTGTACATTTTCTTCATTTCATCCTTTCAACATCAAATAGTAGGCAGCAAAAATTGGATCAGACTTCAAAGCCTGCTGTGGGCTCCAAGTCACAGAGAGACGCCTCCATTTCACATATTGAATTCGAGCAGGATATCAAAGTGCTACCAAAGAACCTCGGGTCCTTACTCAAAAAGAGGCTCTAACATCTGTAGAGAGTGGAGTGCACAGACAAATCACCTCAGGGAGCAGCTAACATTTATTCTCAGCAGCAAATTTCCAGGCTTTTGATTCTCTCTCCACTGTACCTCCCTGTCTCTCTACTGAACCAAAGTTCTTTAGCAAGCTGGGCTTTTGTCTCAAAGACTTCAAAATATCACTAACAGTTTCAAATTTGGATGGCCCAACCAAGCAGCCACAGACAAGCTTCATGCCTGTGAACTTGGATGAGTCTGAAGGAATGACACACAGTTACTTTGGAATCACAATATCCAGCTACCTTGTTTGCATGTCCTGCGAAGATATCGCACCCTTTTGGAGAACTCCGGGCTTGTGAATGCCTGAAAAGATAACAATAATGATAATTTCAAAAGACTTGAAAATAATAATAGCAAAACTTAAAGAGGATTGTGTCAAAGATGTATCAAAACATACTCTTTATGCTTCCATGGTTTCCCATTTCGGTCCTTGGTTAAAAGGACATGGTCACCTTAAGAAAATGAATCCTACTAGGTGTTGCTCCTACATGTTACACACATCCACAGTCTGCCTGAATTCCTAAGATCCAAGGAACTGCTCCTTTTAAAGTTGTGTGATTGGCTTTGGTTTAGTGAGCTCTAATGGGCTTCCACAACCTTTACCAAGGAGCCAACTAAATGGATGCTAAGGCTACACTTCCTGCACAGCACATGAATCACATTCATGGCTACAGAATTTAAAATGGATTCTGTAATCAAGTAAGTTTGGGGAATGTTAGGTTGGGCATAGTTTAAAAGGTTTCCTTACTGCAGGAATAATCTTTTAAAATTACAATATACATTTATGGATCTCTATAGTAAAGATCCAGGGGGGATGCAGGGTGTCCAAAAGTAATTTGACCAAGAAGCTTAAAGTGATAACCTATTAACATCTAGTAAAATTGTAATCCTTCATGGAACAAAGTTTGGAAAAATCAATTGGTCTGGGTCCTCAATTTTTTATAATCAGAACATGTTGTATAAGAGTGTGCTTATAACACACAGATAAAACAGGAGCCACTCATAATGCCTTTCAGACGGAACCAGCAGATGGAAAGCACTGAGTAAAGAAGGGAAATCTGTGTTCTGACCCCTGCCTCACACACATGCACACATGTGACATGCATGACACAACAAACATGTGACTTTGGGTAAGTTTCTATAGTATTCCGGGTCCTAGTTTTCCTCATCTATAAAATGAGGAGATTGAGATAAATTATTCCTAAGGTCTCTAACAATTTTTTATTATTAATCTTATTCTTTACTTATGTTGACAAATTCATTTCCATATATTTATTTGTGGATATTACCTTCAAAATATATATTATAAGCAATATTCCCATTTAAAAATTACCACATCAGTACCTGGAAGGAGGGGACTATAATTCTATATTTATTTGTGTGTATATTTGCTTATCATATGTCTCCCACAATGGAATGTAAGCTACATGAAGTCAGGGACTGGATCTGCTCTAGTTCACGCTCTATGTAAGTACCTACCCAGTGCCTGGTACACAGTAAATGCTCAATAAATATTAACCATTTGAATAAATAAAACAATGATTAGTCAATCCACAAAATGTGGGGTCATGTAGTAAGAATACTCTTACTATTAAAATTAAATTAACTATCATTTATATACTACTTCATTTTAAAAAATGCTTTTAAGTATTTAAGAAAGCTTCACAACCATTTGGTCTAAGTACTTTAATTGTATCTATTATATAGATGAAGAAAGAGGTCCAGAGAGGTTAAGAGATTTTTCCCAGGTATCATGGTAAATACCTGGTAGAACGAAGGCATTTACCCATGTTTGTCTGACTCCAAATCCTCTGCTCTTCCTCTGAACCATAATATATTCTATACCCTTCAGTATCTAAGCATTGGCCCAAAGTACTCACTTCTGTCTGGCCTAGGCAAGTTCCAGTAGCTGTAACACACCTATAGGATGGGTGGATTCTAAGATCCTCTAGGAGAAAGTCTAAGAAAGAGAGTTTAGCTGTTGAATTACTGCCAGGCCTCCAATTTATGCCTTTCCTGACCCCTCAAAAAATGAACCTCTTGACAACTCCTCTAGCTTGTGTGACTTTTCAGAATCCAAAGTCATTGGTAGACACCTCCCAATTCTCCACAGGGAGTCAGCTTCTCTGATTCCCTCTTCATTCAAGCCTTTGGAAGAATCCAAGGCAGCTCAATGTAATGTTTGTGTGTGTTTAAGAAAAGTCAGTGGCAGAGGTCAGGGAGTAGTGTCTACAGGCAAGTAAATTGGAAAATACTAGATTAGCCTACAAGATTAGCCTAGGTTTCTTTTCTGAGAGGCTTTCTGGAAACTTTAGTTTAATCATATGTTCAATGAGACTTCAAGAAAGGAAAAGAATGGGAGACATTTCCTAGACATTATTTTAACAATGGACCCTTGTCCTTTGTAGCATGTTGAGGCACTACTGATTCTTAGAACACATCTTGCTTTTAAGAAAATGGTACAAGTCAGTTTTCTTAAAAAATCTAACTTCCTCAACTCCTTTCTAGAGTTGGGGTTTTTTTTGTTTTTGTTTTTGTTTTTGCCTCAGGGATATGAGACTGGATACTGCTCTGCAATCCATCATTACCAAAATAAGGAAAAGCACAATAATAACAAAAAGCCGTGACTCAAGCTTACAATCCCAGCTACTGGGGAGGTGGAGGTGGGAGAATGGCTTGAGCATAGGAGTTCAAGATTAGCCTGGGCTATATAGCAAGACCCTGTCTCTATTTAATTGAATTTTAAAAATATTTTTTAAAAAGAAAGAAAAAAAAAAAGCCAATGCTTATTGCATGGATACAGACCACCTGGCACCAAGCAAAGCATGTTACATACTGCTGACAGCAACGTGGATTGGTTCTGTTTTTTGTTTGTTTGTTTGTTTTTTGAGGTAGAATCACATTCTGTTGCCCAGGTCAGAGTGTAGTAACATGATCATGGGTCATTGCAGCCTCCAACTCCTGGGCTCAAGTGATCCTCCCACCGCAGACTTCAAAGTAGATGGGACTACAGGCATGTGCTACCACCACACCTGGCTAATTTTTTATTATTTGGAGAGATGAGGTCTCACTATGTTGCCCAGGCTGGTCTCAAACCCCTGGCCTCAAGCGATCCTCCTGCCTCTGCTTCCTAAAATAACCTATTTTTACAGATAAAGGAGTTAAGCATCAAGAAGCCAGTGATTCGCTTCAAATTATAACAGGTAAGCAGTATACCATAAGACTATGGTATACTGACTATAGAAAAGGCGATGCCAGAGAGAAATTATCAGGCCAAAATTATCAATTGTTGCTGGGTGTGGTGGCTCACACCTGGCATCCTAGCACTTTGGGAGGTCGAGGCAGGTGGATTGTTTGAGTACAGGAGTTGGAGACTAGCCTGGGCAACATGGCGAAACCCTATCTCTACTAAAAATACAAAAAACTAGCTGGGCCATAGTGATGTGCACCTGTAGTCCCAGCTACTCAGGAGGCTGAGGTGGAAGCATCGCCTGAGCCCTGGAGGTCGAGGCTGCACTGAGCCAAGATCACACCACTGCACTCCATCCAGCCTGGGCAGCCGGAGTAAGACTCTATCTCAAACAAACAAACAAATAAACATTAATTGCTGATAAAATTATTAGACAAACAGTTAACAGGGAACAGGACATTCACATGGTGCCAAAGTACCGCCATACCGGTGATTTACCACTTTCTTTCATTTCACAAGAGGAGCAATGTACACTGGAGAAATCAGAAGGTCACTATTTTAATGCAGTGCTCAATTTTAACACCACTAATGCCACGACAACATTGTCTTATAATGTGAGGCAACATGACGTATGTGATATCGCCCATGATGTATTTTTTCCTTTTGGTCAAAAACATTTAACTTAAATCAGATTAAGTCCTTGGATCTAACTTACAGTCTACATAAAACACAGGGCATGGGGAACAAGCTGGATGAGACCACAGGAAGCAAGCAGCTAAATACAGAAGGTGAGCTATTTTATGAGATAATCCCATTTTATGGCTCGATCCTCTGGAAAAGTCGGTGTTATGAAAAAAGTGACTACTCTATATCAAAAGAGATTTAGGTGAAATAACGACTCGATGCACTGTAACATTCTTTTTTTTTTTTTTTTTTTTTTGAGACGGAGTCTTGCTCTGTCGCCCAGGCTGGAGTGCAGTGGCCGGATCTCAGCTCACTGCAAGCTCCGCCTCCCGGGTTTATGCCATTCTCCTGCCTCAGCCTCCCAAGCAGCTGGGACTACGGGCGCCCGCCACCTCGCCCGGCTAGTTTTTTGTATTTTTTAGTGGAGACGGGGTTTCACCATGTTAGCCCATGTTGGGATGGTCTCGATCTCCTGACCTCGTGATCCGCCCGTCTCGGCCTCCCAAAGTGCTGGGATTACAGGCTTGAGCTACCGTGCCCGGCGCACTGTAACATTCTAGATTGGATCCTGGCCTGGATAAACATGTGCAAAGGGCATTCTTAGAATAATTGGGAAAATTTGATTATGTATTGGTATCAGATGATATTAAGGAATTAATTCATTTATGAAGTGTGATACTGTTTTTTGAATCCCTAGGAAATTTTTTTTTAACAAATAACACTGTCCTCGACCTCTGTTGGTAATCTGGGCAGAAGCAGTGAATATGGCTATCAAAGTGTGGTGAATAGAAAGCAGTTGTCCCTCTTTGTATAATTCATCACATATTTCTAGGGCTCCGTTGGCCTCTTGGAAGCATAACTGAAGTCTCAAACAGATTGCCTCCGGGGCTCAACCGCTCCACTGAAGTCAGTTCACTGAACTGTGGGTTCTAGGGGAGACGGAAACTCTCAGTCACCGTTGATAACCCTTCTGCTAGGCATCTGTCCTGAAAAGGCCCCCAGACAAAACTCACATCTAATTCCCTCTCTTAAACCCGCATCCCAGTGTGAGCGGATGAGGGGCAAGGTGAAGGCTGGCTCCTGAGTAGCGGGCTGCTGAGAATACTCAGCATCTCCCTTCTTCTGCAGCAGAGATCCATGCAGCCAGCTGGCTCGGTCACGCTGTGCTGGTGGCACTAGGTGAAGTCACCGTGGTCCAGGGACTGGGCCTCAGCTTCACAGGCTCCAAAATTCAATTTGTCAGTTCATTGAGGGATGATGATTTTGGGGAGAGCTGAGTTGCAATAACCAACCTCAAAAGAGTCATATTTGAAATGTAGAATATACCAGTGTGATTTTACAATGAACGGTATGATCCAGACTATACTTTTCCTCTCACTGGTTGGCTGATACACTCTGGAGACTAAATTACACGTTAGAATTAAAGCAA